GCATTCCTGAACAGAAAGCTGCAGCAGCTTCACTCCTGTTTACTCTTCTCCAATCCATCTGTCTGTCCCTCTGCTGGGCTTTGTCCTTTTAGCGTTGCCATAAATCTGTTAGCAAACAGGCAGCAGAGTCGTTGTCTGGGTGTAGGCGTTGGGTTTCTGGCTCTACAGTCACCTAAGAATGCAGGAGCCGAGAACTAACCCTCTATTATGGGGAGACCCACAAACCAAGGCTGGTTCATTTTGCACGTCCCCACAAATCACACATCTATTTCGAATGAAAACCAAAATAAACTTAATGACATCCATTCAATGTGGGCAAACAGAACCTTTTTTCCTTGCCAAAGGGTTGTTTTTTCTTCAAACTGCCAGGTTTCTATATAAAGACATCTTAATTTTGTTATTTTCACTAAAATGAAGCACTGTGTGTTGGCTTTACACTCCTGGCTTTTTTTAAATTTATTTTTGGACAACATCTCCAGTAAATATTGTCTACCTTCTCTGCCTATATATTTGTTTTCATGATCTCTCCAAGCCATGACCTGGAACACACAGCAACATGTCTTGTCACAAGCCCAAATAAAAAAAAAAACAACATTTTATGAATGTTTTTAGTCAATTTTCAAAATTAGGCGTCAAATTTCCGAGCCATTTAACCAGGGCCACTTAAATCTTTTGCTAATATATTCATCCCAAGACCCAGCAGTTGACCTAAAACTCATTTTAAGGTTTTGGCTTCAATTCCCTCTCTCTTCGCTCTTGGCAGTGCATCCACAGAGATTTGGCAGCCAGAAATGTTCTGGTAACGGAGGACAATGTGATGAAGATTGCTGACTTTGGCCTGGCTAGAGGGGTTCACCAGATTGACTACTACAAGAAAACCACCAACGTGAGTGACAGCTTGTAACTGCACATTTTCAGAAATCACTTTTGCTGCTGTAACTTTCCAGGGTAGAACTTTGTTTTCAACAGCTAACAAGTGTGGCAGAGTGCAGCTAAATCACCACTCAAACTTTTACTTTTCCACAGCTAAGATGCTGTTACTTTATAGCACAGGGAAGATATTCCTTTCCTACTTTCATTTACCTGAAGACTTTTTGTAAATGATCCACTGCAAAAAAAACAAACAAACAAAAAAAAACAAAAAAAAAAACAAAACAAACAAACAAAACAAAACTACTTACTATAATATCTTACTCACTGGGCTTAATAGGACTTAACTGGAAAAGAGGGATAACAAGGAGAAAGGAGGGGGAATCATAAGTGAGAGGGCATGGAAAAATCATTCACAGTAAGACAAAACAGAAAAACATGGCTCTAACAATTTCTTGTTCACTCTGTAGGGCCGACTGCCGGTGAAGTGGATGGCACCAGAAGCCCTGTTTGACAGAGTCTACACACACCAGAGTGACGTGTAAGTTCACCTATACAATTTCAACATTTCTACAGCAACTTAGAGGCAAATGCTGCCCCAAATCACAGCAAAATAAAATATATATTCTGTGCAATTGTAATAGATTTCTGTTAGGCTTCATACATGCTTTTTTTACCACAGTAAACAAAAGTGATTATTAATAATATGTATATCCTGTTCTTTTTTTCTGGGCTCAGGTGGTCATTTGGAGTACTGATGTGGGAGATCTTCACACTGGGCGGGTCACCATATCCTGGTATCCCTGTTGAAGAGCTCTTCAAGCTGCTGAAAGAAGGACACCGAATGGACAAACCCTCCAACTGTACACATGAACTGTAAGCGGAACTCGAGAGTTTGCCACTACAGTCACATATGCGTCTCACCACAGCATATATAAAATTTCACAAGCCACATCTGTAGGCTGAATAGATTATCTAGACTATAGAAATCATTTTTTCTATGTTGTGTGTTTTTATGTAGCTACACGCTGATGCGTGAGTGTTGGCATGCTGTTCCATCCCAGAGACCGACCTTCAAACAGCTGGTGGAGGAGCTGGACAGAGTGCTGCTGTCCATCTCTGACGAGGTGGGCTTCGAACACACACACACACACTGTCCAAACTGGAGACATTTCGGATTGCGCAGCAATTCATGTGATTCATTTGTTGGTCCTTACTGGCACTTAAATCACTGAAATGTGTACAGTAGTTACAAACCTAACAATCTTTACCTTAACCAAATCCAAAACTGTTGGTCCAGAAATGTTCTGTTCTCCACTGACCACATCTGCATCTCTTCTGGCTTGAATATCATTAAATGAACACACTGTTTAGCAGCAGTCTGACAACCTCTGAGAGCATGCAAAATTCAGTTTTCACAGCTGTTCACTGCCAGTTTTATTACAGTTATATGTGGATTTGTTGCTCATTCTCTTGTTGCAAACTGCCTTTGCAAAGACTCATATCTCTAATTTCTCTCTTAGTACTTGGACCTGTCGACACCCTTCGAGCAGTACTCCCCATCATGTGAGGACACGTCTAGCTCCTGTTCCTCTGACAACGACTCTGTTTTTACCCATGATGCTTTGTCCACTGATCCCTGCCTCCTGGGATACCAGGACGTGCGCTCCCGGATAGATATAAAGACCGCGCTCCGATAGGCACTCAAGTAAAGCAACACATCTGCTGGTGGCCATATTGGAGGTCCACAGCAAAATTTCTAAAATGAAATTGACAACGAACTTCCATTATTGCACCAGAAAAAGCCCTTCCATGTAGGTGCACATCTTTTACACACACATACACACAAATACATACACAGACACAGATATGTACATATGGAGCACTGAGGCCACTGGGCTTCATTGTACAGTGGAGTTTTGTAGAAAAACGTTTCATTGTGGGCAGCAGAACGAGCAGGAGAAAGGACAAACAAAACCTGGTACTTTGGATTATCAGCGCTGGCACTCTGCCCAAGAACAGTTGCGACGTTGGAAAACTATGGCACTAAGCACAACAGAAGAAACCCTGGTACTGCCAACAGCTTAGAATGCTTTCTATGATCAGCTGTCCCTCAGAGAGGTCACCGACAGTGATCTCCTCACACAAATCCTTGGTGATAAAGACATTTTAACAGACAAAAAAAGATTTATTTTGCTATGATTAAAAAGAAGAAATTGACTGTTAAATATAAGTCTCTCTATATAAGATTATTTTACGTTTGTCTTGCTTATTTAAAACGAGAACAGTCTTAAATCTCAGGATCTCTTTTGCTAAGAAGTTGTTTTAGTGGCAGCAAAGTGCCTGAATTTAGGATTTCCTGTGAATATATTAGAATATCTAAATATTGTATATACATTTATACAACAGAAAGATGATTGCCTTATATAAATTATTCTGAATGACACAGAAATGAAGGTTACTGAAAGTGAAAAAAGAAAGAGGAACTTCATCAAGTGCTTCAAGTGCCAAACCTACAAAGCTGCCACATGTCTTCATGTTCAGGTTTCATTCCAAAATGCCACCATATTCACTGTAGAAGCATTATTTATACCTAATAACAGGAGCTCAAGGAAGCAGCCCATATTTCAAATGTAAAGAACTCTAAACACACCATTGGCATCATTAAAGAACAGTAGATGTTAAAATTTTTGGTTTGTCTTTTATAAATACTAAACACCTATTTGTATTTTCAGTTTTGACTGATTAAGAAATACAAATTAAAATTTTTCCATGAACAACTAAAACTCCAAATTTTTGTGCCAAAAACAAACAAACAAATATGGATAGTGCCTTTACAAAATGGCTTAAACATGGAAATTTGGGAATGAAACCCTCTATTTATCTTTTTTTTTTTAACTGCAGCAGCCTCCAGCCCAAGAAAACAATGAGGCATAATACCAGAGTGAGGGCAGTTATTGCTGCTGTTGTTGGACAAAAAACACAAATCTGGAACTTTTGTGTTTTCTCATAATTTGCAAGCTTATGAGCATAGAAGCTGCATCTCCTAAATTTAAAACCCAAGCCAAAAAGGTTGTGAGATTATTTACAGGTAAAAACAACTAAGTAAACTTTGAGACAGCATCTTGTGGACTTCCCCAAATACAGTAACAGCTTTACTCATTCAGTCTTCGCCTACATGGCTGCTGTGTCAGGGACAGTGACTCTGTAAGACAGGGACTGTGTGGAGCTGGCCCAAGCCCACTGTCACTGCCGACAAGGAGAAGAGGCAGGGAGGGGGACACTGAATGTGAAAGCTAGTGTGATTGATTTCAAATAGAAGAGAGGGGGGAGGGACTCTCCTTTGTCTGGCTGTAACCCTTCACCCAGCCCAATCTGCTGGCGAGGGCTCCTCAGGTCCGCAGCCTGGCCGGACAATGAGGCTTTGCAGGCATAATGGGTGTGACTATGGGCCAGAGGGAATTTTGGGGGGTAGTGGTGTGGGGATAGCTTGGGCTTGTGTGCAAATTAAGAGGCTCTTATTATGGTAATGTCTACTTTTGTCTCCCAAATTTCCCTATCTTTATCCATAGCCACAATCTTTTAAATTACAAATCTTAATTCAGATTCACTGGCCCGCCACTGCCACCAGCAGCAGAAAATTCCCCTGTGGAGTAAAATATCAAGCGAGTTTCATCCTGCCTAATGAATCTGACCACGGACAAAACAGTCGAGATAGAAACAAATTACCCATTGGCAGGTGCTGCATGGAAAGAGATTTTCATGAACAAGAGCAAAATGTTTGATCAGCTAATATTATGTCTTTTCTAGACCTTTGATTCTTCAGAAGTGAAGCCCGTCAAGATATTCACAGATTGCAATGAGTACATTTAAATGAAAATGCTATATTACCAGCTGTACTGCACAATTACATGTGTATTATTCATTTTAGATGTGTGAAAGTTTTCCAAAATGCTCTAAATTCTTCATCTAGTCATCCTCTGTGTAAAACCAGCCAGCCATGTGGCCAATGAAGGATTAACGTATCTACTCTCCTTATCTGTTTGCATTTTACACTGCCATTTATCTTGTGACAGCTGATGGCGCTGATGGATGTCTCATTTTGGAACGAAGCTCTTACGTTTACATAAAGTTTCCGGACACATTTGCATCTTTACATTCCAGTTACCTGCGCTTCTCCCAGATACAAACTGTAAACAATCACAACACTCTTAAAAATTTCTTCAAGAGAATTATTTTAGAAATACCTAATTTATTTGTTTATTGTTTTGTTTTTATATGAAATAAAGTATAATTTTAAATAAAGTTGCTTTGTGTCCTTGTCTCTGTCATTGCACACACACAAAAAAATCAGACTAGACAATAACTGGACTCAGAGAGAAAAATATTCAGATTCGGGGCAGGTTGTTATCATTCATTCTCATCAGTTAATATTGATTTTGGGCAGGTTGTTATCATCCTCATCAGTTAATATTGCCTGTACTGATGCTTTCTTCTGAAACCCACAAAACCATCTTTGTGCAGGTCCAGAGAGAAAACAGTTCTACTTTTGTATGTTCTTCCAATTCTGACAAAGTTAAAACCATCATTGTTTTCAGTTCACCAATTTAAAAGAAGGAAACAATTAATAGAGTCCCTACAGAGACAGCAAGAGGAGCGGCAGAGAGAAAGAAACAAATGTGAGAAAGATGGAAGACAGGTCGGCACAGGGAAGGAGAGACAGCGAGACGGAAGAATGAAGAGATGGAGTTTAAAGGTCAAGAGGACGGAGGAGAGGGTAGCAGTGATCCCAGCCAGCCCTGGCTTTTGAAGTGTGCCTGTGCGCATGATTAGCTGTCAGTGTGTGTTTTATCTCCTGCACACCTGGTGTGTGGTCTTATGTGTGTGCATTTTTGCCTTATCTTCCATGTACAATAAATCTTGATCAGCCAGCAAGTCTGTCTCTCTGAGGTCCCTTACTGCTTGAACTGATATAGGTCTCAGTGTAGGATAAATGTCTGGGGGTATGTGTTTGACATTACAGCATGTTCAAACAATGTTGTGCTGCTTCATGGTTAATTTCACATTTACAGGTGGGGGTCAGAAAATTTCCATTTCGAGGGATGGTTGTATTTTGAAATCAAGGGCTTTAGATTAAATATCAAAGAATAATTTTCAAATATTTAAGAGCTTTGGACAGAACCAAAACATATGCAAAAGGTTTCCAGGTGCTTGCCAACATCACAACACCAAGCTCTAATGTCTGGGGGCAGCAAATGTTAAACTCTTCCTTTAAAAAATGACTTTCCGGTTGTACAGATATATAAACAATTGTCTTATAAAAGACAGATTTACAGGCTAGTTATCATCATTTGGTAAATTTCAATAAGCAAAGAATCATGCTTGGTATGGAGGCTGAGACTAGACGCTTTGGTCCCTAAAAGTCCAGAAAAAGATCTTTCAGAGGCAAAATAAACTATAATGCTGACAATATCTTTTCTTATCTCATCTTTATGAACTTGTTTTTCTCAACTTGTTATTGTCATAATGTCACAGATAGTCCAACCGCAGTGGACTCTCATCTCCAGCAGTCTAAATATTTAAGGATTTCTGTACAAAAACAATGGTATCAACTCCAGACAGCCTCCCAGTTCACAATGGATTAAACAGTTTTCATCTTCTGTAACATAAATTGCAAATGTTAAAATGCCTGGCTAATGCCTAGCTTTCTACCTACAATAGTAATATAAAAAAAGCATACAAAGTCTGTCATTAACTATGCAGTGGTTTACCTATTTGGTTTATATTTGTTGTTAGAGCTGTGGAGTTTTCAGAGAACATCAGTAACCAAGTCATTTGTTCTCAGAATTGGTCCCTCAGGCAATGCTTCTCCCTGGGCTTTGTGCAGGTTTAATAGGGAACTTATTTTGCTTGTGGGTAGTCACTGCCCTAAGTCAGTGAACAAAAGTCTCCTGTTCCTAGTAAACACCACAGATTACTGCTCATGAAAGACTGTAACATGATTTGCAGTAGTCTGCAAGATATGCACAGATAGGCAGACCTACACCTGCCCAGAGGCGAGTATGTGTCACTTACCTGCATGTATATTCATTGTCTATTACACCTCTGGACAACACTATGAGGGCCTGTTTTATCAGGTATTTTAGAATTTAAACATCTGATCAGGCAGTATGCAGAATGAGGAGGTCGACTAAAGAGACATGGAGCAACACCAGTTTAAAGTTTAACTGCTTTGATGCAGAACACTGAACCCTGGACCACAGACACACAATTGCAGCAATTCTGGACTGTATGTGTGTCTATTTGTGCATGTGTGTGTAGGATCCAATGCAATGTTTGTTAGCTTACTTTATCTCCTGACCTCCGGAAGTACTGGTTATTCCGTCTACACTAACAGTGTGTGATAAGGCCGGGATAAGAGTGTGGACACAGGATGTTGGGTTAACACTGGGACAACATGAGAGGAGCTTATCACACAGACAGGCGGCCATAATACAACAGACAGCAACGTGGAACCGTGGTGGTGTCTGCTGACACAGCCTGCTGGAGAGAAAACAGCAGTTACACTGAAGAGCAAGTTTTTATAAAGTGTCCTAAAACACTAGCCCTAAAAGGTGTGTATAGGCATCTATAAAAAATGTCACAGTGACAGACAGATACACTGACTGAGAGTGAGAGATCACTAGTGTAGACAGCATATCTTGTTGAAAACAGCTTAGCAATATTGTGCAACATTTTTGATTAAGTATATCCAGTATATTCATCCGGTCATCTGTGTGTGTGCAGTCGCAGTAGGTACAGTAAATCAAAGCTGAATAATGAAGTTGTCTTGTAAACTAGATTCTTGGTGGACTGCAGTCACACAGAAAGCTGAAGCTGTTAGTATAGGCAAATTATTCAGAAGCTTTTCTATTGCCACAGCAGATAAATCTGCCGATGCTAATGTTACAGTAAACTGCACCAGACAACTACAGAACTGCAGCAAGATAAGCCCCCTCCAAAATATATAACATTAATGTCCATTATGAGCATTTATACAAACAGAACTTTATTCACTCACAGTTGTAAAAGCTACAAACTACATTTATACTTTAAAATCTGTTCTGTACCTAAACTTGAGCACATTCCAGTTTGCAACTTGATTTTTATCATGTAATTGGAGGAAATGAAAACAATGTCTCTCTGAATTGTGGGAAAACACATTCTGAAGAACCTAAAAGCACAATATAATTTGCTTTAAAAAATAGTCAGCAGTTAGCAGTAAACTGGGTATTACATACAAAGGTACAGTCTTTTAAGCCAAAATGAGCATTATTTTAGCAGTGACATCAGTGTTAGAGTTCTACAGTTTATAACTTCATTGTAAGTGGTTTCAAGTTCTAAAATCAGGGTTCAATTAAATAATTCCCCAAGGTAGTACTTAGTAAAGGTCAGCAGCTCGCGGAGCTAAGCCTGGTCAATGTGAAAAGCATCATCAAATCCCACAAACTAAACTGTCTCCTCAGGCCTCATTATAAAAAGACAGCCCACGGACAGCAGGCGGATACAAACTCCTGCTGCAACCGATCTCCTTAAGGTTACATTCACAGTTAAGCAAATTTCATTATCAAATACATTTTGGAGGCACTGTGCTGCCCATTTTATGTTTTTAACAAACAAAAAGAAAATATTTGCATTGACTGTCAAATATCTGGCAAATGTTCACTTTCAACATGAAAAAGTTCACATTTTAATATGCAATATCTACACTACTAAATGATGGCTGAAGTATTTACTGGCATGTTTTTATAAATCAAAGCACTTGGTTAAGGTTAAGCTAAGATAATGGTCTGTGTAAATAATGAAGCAAATACTGGCTTAAAAAAAAGTAACAAATCATTCTTTAAAGAATTCTTTCACTTTAATCAAAATGCAGAGTTTAAACTGGATTTGATCCCTTCGATCCCTGCCCTGACAGCAGCAGCTGCTGATGCTACGTTATCAGCTGCCAGCGAAGAGGTCAAATATTTGTAAAGTTGTCAGTGTCTCTGCAGCTGTTGCACATGTGTTTTGTTACAGATGCTGAGACAACATGTGATGACACAGTGAGCCTGTATGAGCAAACAAGAAAATCTGTCAGAGAGAGTTTATAGTAGAAGCAAGACAGAAAAAAGCGCGTGTCTCTCGGAGAGGGTCTGAACAAGGCAGAAAAAACTAAACATCTGCCTCCTTTTAATGGGTAAAGATTTCTGGATCTGATTTGTGGAACATAAGTGAAAGTGTTGACTACGTGCGGTTTGTAAATGAAAGCCCCGGAGCCTTGAAACAACTGCAGTCAAAGAGTTTGATATCAAGATCATTCTTTAGGGTAAATTACAGTCTTAGTTTGTCTTGATGGGACATGAACCCTTTCTCCTCCTGTTGTGTGCTTCCAAACCAAAGGGTACGAATTACTAATTCAGTGACAAGGACAATGATCCCTCATTGGCTTCCCACCCATTAACACAGCCAATTGTATCTGGATTGCACAACCCTGCCTGAGTTAAAGGGCCAGTATACGCCAGCAGAGCTGTGTGTCAGATGGTTGAATAGTTTGTGTAACCCCAGATGTAGCCAGTGTTGTGCTCCAACATAAATTGCGTTATCAGATTGTCTTGTGTGGTTTGAGAAACTTCCAACCCCTTTTTTTGCCTCAAGAAATTCTTTCATAACTGGAACAGCCACGTATAATGTTATATAGTAAAGACAGAGAGAAAGACAGCAGCAATGTCATTTCTCAAAGGTGTGAAAGAAAAACAGACAGCAGATGTCATCCAGGCAGGGGGTCTGTCTGGCTCATCCCTCCTCATCCAGATAAGCTATTGCTGCTCACGGGGTCTGTCTGTTTGCCTGTCTCTTTCCTTGTGTTATCTATGCCTGCTAAATGTTTCGAATTACATGGAAGATGCACTCAAGTGTCAGAGCTACAGAAGCTTTAAGTGTTTTTATATCTTTTCAACCACATTCAAGAGGCGCTCAGGGGGTCCTCTGGGTTTTTATTTCAAAAAATATTTTATTATTTTATATTTTATTTCAATATTGTAACATGAAGGAACAAGAAAAAATAAAACCTAAGATCAGACGGAAGAATGTTTAGCCTTAACGTTACTTCTTCAACCCATTCTACCTTCGTATTAATATGAAGGTGGAATGGGTTGGTTTAACAGACTATATTTGTGTATGTATTAATATTATTTTATTACAACAATTGCAC